CTCGGCGGCTCATAAACTGGCGTGTCAGCTGTCCACTGACCCCATTCCGTGGCCTAATCGACAAACGCTCAGTTGTAGATAGATGTGCACCCCGAAATGAGGTAAGTAGACGTGAAATGTATCAGTGCAATCATCCGTATTTGTTTCTTTTAGCTCTGGTGTGTGTTCTCGTGCATGTGTTCAACTGGGCCGTTATAGTGAATGGTCACGAACCAGGAGACCGTATAGTGAAAGTCGGAAGAACAAAAACAAATTGATGAATGGTGTGGATGGACCGATGGAAAATAACCTGATTTTGATATCTGTGTGCCCATGGATTCCCAAACAAAATCTTCCATCCGTCTCACAGATACAAAGCACTTTTATTACATTGAGACAGTCTGTGTTGAGTGAACATCAAAGAATTAACTTGCAACATGTCATGGAAAAAATAACTACTGATTAATTCGGTGTGTCAATTGATTCATTTGTGTGTACTTATATGCCTGTCTATCCACCTGCCCGTCTACAATCTATCTATCTATCTATCTATCTATCTATCTATCTGTCTATCTATTTATCGATTGATCGATCCATTTATCCATCCATCGATCCATCCATCAGTCAGTCAGTCAGCCAGTCAGTCAGTCAGTCTGTCTGTTTGTCTTTCTATTTATCTCTCTCTATCTATGCTTGTCTTTGCGTCTGTCTATCTGTCGTTATATCTGTCTAAATCTTAATTCATCGTTGAACTTCAACCAGTTCGTGATATCCTCATAAACAAGAAATTCTCTGATGCAGTACAACCGAATGGAAAACAACTGAAACTGAGTGAGGTTTGTTCGTCGTTGGTCTTCGTTGATGATCTTTGCCGTTGAAGTCTACGACCTGACATCAGAGATATCTAATACTGTCATTTCATATAAATGACAAACAGGATTTCTCGGGAAATGTCATCAACGGAGGCTTGCTGCAACGTAGTCTATTCTGGAGAATGCTACCTTATTGAATTATAAAACTATTTGACGTTTTCACAATGAATCCATTCTCTCGGTTGGTAACAACAACTGAATTACTTTATAAGGAAAATTGTCATCACACGTTGATCGATAGATAGTGTTAAATAACAAGCTCGTCAGAAGAAGACCAGGATGCAGTCAGATTTGAACATTTTAGCGAGATCCACCACCCTCACAGATACCCCGAATCTTCGACTGAACGAAGTGAGCTCAATGAGAGAAACCTGGTGAGAACTTTACCTGTGAGCATCATGTTTACAGTCCGCCACTGCAGGCCCAGTTCATAATGTCCGGAAAATGATAGAGTCCTGATGCCACAAGTCACACGGATAGGGCTGTTCGTAAACTTAAGGTGAAGATACTCAACTTTTTAGTCTTCCCAACAACATTATTTGAAGGATTATTGTTCCGAAAATTGCCGTGCAATCAAACTGTACTCTTTCAGGAACATCAAAGGTTGTTGATGTTGGTGTTTTCTCCGAGCTGAAAGTGTTGTTGTTCACAGATGTATCACAGACAGGTTAGGCAGCATTATCAACTACAGCTCGGAGAACACACCAACACCAACATCGACAAACCTGAATCACAATAATTTCACAATAATTCCAACATCGAAAGTGGTTTCCTCGTATTTAGAAATCAACTATATACAGGAGACGTGTTAAGTAAAAAAAGCGTTTTTTTTGACAGGATATTAAAAATCTATATTTTATTATGGGAGGTAAAAATACTGCGCCATTTGATGTCGATCGAGCCCTGACTCTTATTGATCAGGTCGTTTTGGGGTATAGTAGTCAAAAAAGAAAACATTTGTCTGAATATCTGCTCAGTTGAACTAATCTCACTTCCCCACCACCTCTTCCTCTTGCACTTCTCTCGCCCGATGCGGTCACTAACTTGTATCCTATTATGTTTATCCAAATAGTAGCTGAACAATTGAGTACTTGGTAGTTTATTGAATTTCTCGATCGCTAAAAGTCGCTCATCGTGTGGCATACATTGTTCAGTGATTGCAGACAGTTGCCGACATGACTTAGAATTCTAAGCAATGAAATGAATGGAGTTCAACAGAGTTCGGTTCAATACCCAATGTGATTTTATTACGGAGAACTCCAAAATGTTGCTTTAATTTCGATCCCATCTTTTTCGTGCACTTCACTTAATGGATAGGATTCTCTGCTTTGTATCTATTTGACAGGTTTGAATTATTCAGTGTGTCGTATACATAAATATGCATCACGGTATTGTTTTTCTACTCTAGAAATTATTATCTGTCACGCAATTTCTTGTTATCATATAACATAACATTACATAACATATGTGTTCAAAATTTAAAATTTCACCAAACTGTAAGGATAATAGTTTATTAAATGCAAAATAATCAAAAACTTCCACAAACCGACTCAAACAAAGGATATTTTGTTCACCGCAACAGGAGTCAGTTTCGCAATGGGAAAAATCCAATCGAGATGCAAAAGGAAAAAGAAAACATAGAGCCGCGTAGATGGACAAAAAGGGGTATTCGGACAGATCGATAACCTGTTTGATGTAAATACTACGCACAAATCACAGATATACAGGAAGCATTTTTTCTCAATTTGTATTTTTCGGTTTCATGATCGTATCGCTATCTGATATTAAGATGCAAACTGAAATCTGTAAGGAAAACCTGGCTTACTGCACGTTTCTAGGTGGAGTCATCGGTTTGCCAAATTTCTGTTAAGTGCGGCAGCGTGCGTAGGCATCGAACCAACGCATGGGCGTCTCACACGAGTTAGTACAGAGCGGACGGCGTCAGCTGGGCTGTGAAGTCACCCCGACAAATCTCTGAACTTTGCCAATTTGGATTACCCACTGAACTTACAAAGGAACATCGAATCCATCAGGCAGCTTGTAAGCTGATTGATTAACTCTGAAGTACACAACCGCACACATACAAGGGCCGTAGTAACAAACTCATCAACACGAGGGATTCAGAGTTCGTATCCGGATCGAAAAAGGGCATGTGCACTAGTAAGGTACCCTCGGGTTTTTTGTTAGTTGACTGGTGTCTGAAAGTGGAGTCTTAACGATGATCAATCTGAAAGACGACCAATCAGAATAAGTTTGACCCAGAGAATCGGGCCTTAAGTGCAAGTAGTATTGCAATATACTAGGCTAAAAACACGATGTTCAGGAAACAAAGTTCTGCGGTAGTGCTAGGCTAAAAGTAATACAGCGGTAGTGTAACGCTAGGAACGTTGATCCCGTCGCCGCCATTTTGGATTGAGTCCGTGTCATGTGCATGTTTCACCGAAACTTTTGGTTCATGGTCGTTTTGTATTTTCGATGTCTTCTAGGTCATTTGGAAGTCCCATTGCACGGCGCTTTGAACGATAGGTTCTCCGTGGAAGGGGATTTCCAAATGACCTAGAAGACAACGAAAATTAAAAGCAACCATGAGCCAAAAGTTCTAGTGAGACATGTACACGACTCACACTCAATCCGAAATGGCGGCAACGTACTCGACGAAACTAGCGTTACGCTACCATTGTATAACTTCTGGGAATATAACCCTGTAACACTGACTCGTTGAAGCTATAACGCGGATACATAAACCTGCCCTACCCTGCCGTGCCNCCACCCACCCATCCAAAAAAACGCAAAGTACCAATAGTTACTGCACGGATCCTCATGCTTTTCCAGATCAGATTTTCGACCGAAAAGTCTGTAAAGTCTTAGATATGTATTGGACAAATTCTCAAGGCAGTATGCATTAGTTGGAATGAAACAAAATTATTCAAAACATAAACTATGCAACCTGGGAAAACCGAAGTTAGTTTTTCAATTACTAACACTATTATTTCGCTCGAATAATGACATTTTGTTGCCAAAATATATCTTATAAAATTACTGACACTGTAATTCAGATAATCTGCGTTGAATATTAGTGAATAACTCTGATAAATGGGCTCCACAGTTTTCTCTGCTGGTTCCCAAATACTCACGTTGAAAACGATGTATTTCAGTCAACTTGAGAGAATATCGAGAATGATCTGTAATGCTCTGATAATTACTGAGTATAATAATAATAATAATTTTAAATTATAGAAAAATCCTACTCGCTACCTGTCAAAATCAGGAACAACATTGTATTCTTCATTGAGAAAATCATGTTGGTGTTTTAGAAAAGCGATATCCTGACCCGTCTTATCATAAACAACCGTGGCATTGTTTTGCTCTCTCTCTCTCGTTTGTACAACACAGACCATGCGCATTCGTTGTTGCGTACAGCGATTTGATAAATTGATCGACGCATGAATTCATTGGAGGACATGGAGCATCAAATTCTGTCAGTGATGCGGGACATGGAGAGATTGCTAAGCGACAAAAATCAAACACAGCGGAAATGGAACCAATTAAACAATTCATACAAACTGACAGGAGAACAAAAAGCAATATGGAGAGAATGATTTCCGATACAATCGACTACGGACAGTGCGGCGCGTTCGGAGAAAAACACATTTACTATGCTCTGATTTGGAGTTTCAAGTGAACAGAGATCAAACCTGTTGTGATTGTGTACCCATTTTTGTAGATCAGTAAGTTTATTAGGAATGAACTTCTTGTTTTCTAAACTACACAAATGATAACTTATTCTGTCCAATCTCCACGGGGATAATTTCGTATCATTTCACACCTTAGTATACCCGTGAATTCACTCCATATTATTCTAAAGAATCAAGTATATATTAATAAGCACTTTGTAATGACTCAATCGTTTCCCCCATTTCAAATACGTGAATCATCATTGGATCAGGTGCGGAAACTTCAAGTTCCCATAAAAACGTTTTCTGATAGTGTTTACACTACTCGTGAGTAGCGTCGAAAGTTTAATCGTGACTTACGCGGTGTTCACATCCGGTGGACCGATCGGTCCAGGCGATCGATTGACATCTCCATTCGGAACGACTAGAGGTCTCGATCTAACATGGGCTTGAATGCGTTGAAATCCTCGGAATACTTTGTTCGCCGGCAAAGCGAAAATACTGTTTCGTACGTGTTCGAACGCGTCTGCCTTTAGTTGTGCCACCGCCGTGGCGCAAGATGCGCAACGCCCGTCCGCGGCTCGAATGAGGGGATGTTCTGGCATTCGGAGTCTCTCACTCAGCTTGATCAATGACGAGTGTGATAAAGGTGTCTGAAGCAATATGGAACAAGGGTATAAATAATTATATGCACTTATCTTAGAATCAGAAAACGTAAAACGCCTCATGGATTATTTGAGGAAATGATGCGTCTGAGGGGGAACACTGGCCTAAGGTAAGTCAATGCTGTTCAGTCTCTTCTAAGAGAAATCAGAAATAGGACAAAACAGATAGAAAGACAGACCAATATAGGGTTGGTTAAATGGAGACACAAGTCGGTAGGACAGTGCTTGATTCAAGTCAAACACTGAATTGACAGTTAAGTTCTTCAGTATTGGGGTAAGAGCCTACCTGCAAGCAATCGAATTGCAGCAATTAGACAAAATCGGAAGGCAGCTCTTATCAATCGAAATCATTCCAAGTACATTCTGTTGAAGGGTATTACTTCAGCTCTGATCAGCACAGACAGTTTCTGTGCACTGTTTCGTCTATCGGTTGCGTGAGCCTTTTGCCTAACGGAGTCGTTTAAGGCTGGAGGAGAAGGAAAACCTTGCAGTTCGGTGTGAATGACTTCAACTGGTCAGCATAGGTCAAAGTAGAAATCAAAATCGGTGATAATTTGTTCGCAAAACCAAATGATAAACAGAAAAATCGGTAGAAGAAGACAGGTTCTGGAGCCTTTTCAAGTGTCTTACTGAACAAGTTTTTTTGCACGAAGCCTCACGAAGCGGGTGGAAAATATCCATAACGGTAAGTCTGTCAGTAAATCTTAGGATGAGGAGAACCCCCCATTGCTTTGTTGTGCTAGTAAGACCTCGTTCAGGAATATGAAATGAATTGGAAATAGATGCATACAAAACAATGGACTTGGCAATAATTGGAGTGGGAGAAACTTATAGGGTTCACTAAACCTAGAGGGGTTAAATAGAATATATGTGTCAAAGAGAAAAAGTCATCAGCTGCGTTGGACAAAAACTGATATATACAAGTCAAAAATTATGCCCATTTATTATCAGCAAACATCGTGTGCGATTGTTTCAGGAACCAAGTGCATGTTCACACAGTAAATAAAACGAAGTCTGATGAGAAAATGAAACTTGGAAGGAAAGAAAACAAAATTGGTTTTTTTCGTCCGAGAAATCAAACAACAATTCGGTTTTGTAACTCCAAATTTGGTGGATGAAGGTGACTACTCTGTTACAATCACAATCTTCTTACTTCTTAAAGGGTCTACTCCAATGAATCTGACAACATCATCCTCAATGCTCAGATTTGATCACCAACTTCCTTAGAGAAATGGCCCCAGATATTTGCATTCTTTCTGATTCAGTCACTTGGTGACATCATTGGTTTACCCCATGAGCAAACCAATGAAGCAATGAAGGAATAGTCATTATGTCGGTAGAACCTTCTCTAAGCGAAACACACTAGCCTTCAATTTTATTTCTCGATCATTTGTAGCGAATTCTGACAGACTGCAACCAAGAATAATTTTAAATATCCGGTGCGTAAAAAGGCCAGATTGCAAAGTAGTCGGACTGTAGGATAACATTTGATTTTCGAGGTTGCTTGTTGCGTTTAAGCATAATTTGGTACAGCATTATGAGCATTACTTACAAGTAGCTGCTTTTTTGTCTCATAGGGTGTTTACACGAATTAAAATGTAACAATGATGATCAATGTTCGGTCTGCTGCATTCGGTTGTGTTATGTGTGCTCGTGGATGTTGGAACGTAATGTATGTTATTGATTCTTCACGTTTTACCTTGAAAGACTCAATCGTATTGACAAAAACGACATGAGATGGTAAGGAGTTCCAGGCAGTGTACACTCTGACGGCAAAGAAATGACGTCAACAGTCCAGTCGAGATTTTTGGAGTAGTAAACTAAATGGATGTCCCCGTAATTGAACGTTTGATGACAGCGTCAAAAGTGGGCCACAAGGGTAGTTTGAGTTGTGCAACATTTGGTACACTAAAACCAAGTCTCCTCGAATGCGAGGATACTGAGAAGAGTATAGAGCCAACGACTGCAGTCCCCCCATATATGGAGCATAATAAAATCCTATGACCATCTTCATGGAGAGCCTTTGTGGACGCTCCAGAATCTTACGATCAGGTTGTGACCGTGGATTCCAGATTTGGATGGCATACTCAATATGCTGACAGCAGACGTGGGAATAAAGATGGCTCAAAACGACCAAAAACACGTTTAAGTAGATCGACATGTTTGACTGTTGTTGATGATGTCTTGGCACAGTTAATAGAACAGCTCCAATAGACCACTCCAATAAGACAATGGTCGTGCTTCAACAGTTTCGGTTTACACCGAAATGTGTCAGGGGCTGATAAAGGACGATCAACTGCATCGCACTGGAAATCGCTTCGATGGTAAAGTAGAACACCACCATCACGTGTTGGACGATCGCCTCTGAGAAGAGACATGCCCGGTAGGCCCAACTCAGGGTCGAGAATGTCATCCGTCAACCAAGTTTCTGTGACAGCAATGATATCCCACCGACTGAATTAGAAACGCAACACCAGTTCGGAGAACTTACTGCGGAAACCCTGGCATTAGTGTAGCAACAGGTCAAATGTATTTGGTGTAGCAGTCCCTTTGGGTGAGAAGTAGATGGAATACCAACCCTGCCACGATCGGTTAACATTGGGTTTTTGGGAAGGGAGCCCTGGTTCTCTGATCCCCCAATTGTGGAGGGGAGCATGAAGCCGGAATCGATTGTGAATTAGCACCGTTATCACACAGTGGAAATTCCGATGCTAATGTTCATCAAGGGTCTCAGGTGTAGTTCTGGTGGTCCTTTATTCTTGTTTAGTTTCTAAGATTGAAGTACTGTGGTTGTCATTTCTGTTGTGTTGAGGGTGACCTTCATTATCTTAGGGCCGTTACCGTGGTAATTTGGTAAACACGTAAGGCGACTGAATGATGTGTTAAAAACATCTTGGCAGTTTATTAGGTCTTTAATGAAACACCACTCCTTATAGTCATCGTAGTGGCATCTACACTCGTCAGGATCGTTTATTTGTGGGACCCCATGAATGAGAACAACCCTTTTGTTCTCTACCTCCGGTGCACCCTCTAGATTGTTTCGATGTTGCACACGCTCTGCCTATGGTCTGTCAGAGAAAATTCGTGTGGTACTGGAAACGTTTCTCAAGAGGTAACTCGAAAGAAGGATGTTCCCAACGTCCATTTCGCTCTTCAGTGTAACTGCGACTAACCTGGGTTCTCCGGCGTGCGGCGAATTTAGCTGGCACAAAAGGCGTGTGAGGCTCACAGGCTGGACATCAATTCCCAGTAGAGTATACAAACCTTTCCAACGACTAAGCACTTCTTGTTGCCGTTCCCTCAGTGTTTGGGTTGTCGGCTCAGGTGAATTCGTGCAGATGATTCTTAAGTTGGTGTTTCTAACGTCTTTCTTGCAACCTACTGGCAGGTTTCCTGTTGTTTTGATAGGTTTCAGTGATCTAATGACATCCCTCCGCTCTGAATCAATGGTTATGTCTATTGTTGCCGTTGGTGCACTGCTGACAACGATTTCCTGCGTAAGTTGTACAAGAATGGTGCTGTTTGTGAAGCACCTTGAACGCTTAGGTGACCATTGAATTGGGCTGGTCAGAGGGACTAGGGTACTCAGAGCGTCTATTTCATCCTCGACCGCCGAAAGTTTTGCACTGGCTCTTTCCTCAACCTCATAATAGTTTGTCAAACTTATTTGTTAGGCCTGTTATACATTTTAATATAGGAACCTGTATACAATCAGTGAAAAACCACGAACAATCTGGTTGTGCAGCCATCTGTTTGAAACACTTGTTCGATAGGTTCGCGCGGCTGGGATAATAGCATTTTTGGCAGTAGCTGAATGCAATTCCTCTTTTGACATCTTTGCCGCAATCCAGTAGACCGCATTCTCCTAAAATGGGAGTCTAAGTCCACTGATTGGGTAAATTGTTACCATAGACCAATTCTCATGTTTATGTGAAAACGTTTTGTCTCTGGTGGAAAAATGTCAGCCTTACAGAAACTGAGAGCACTTACCGGTTTATAGGATTCTGACACATTTACCTGCATTGGCAGTGCATGCTAGCCGCCGCGCGCCCTTCGATTGGCTGAGCTACGTTTTGTGTGCTCGTTGTCTCAATGGATTTTATGATTATCTCGATGTCAAACATGTTCCGGACCCATACCTACTCTCGTCAGGATATGCTTAGATTGAAATCTGTTAATTCTGTGTCTCATTCAAACAATATGCTTGGAGAATCTGGCAATCATGCTTTGATCCAGAAGCGCAAGCGTTCTGGATGGTAGTGTGGGCTTAATAGCACCCTTCCTGCCAAGATGACCGTGCCGTCATTGGTCAGTACCAGCGTTGGCTCTCTCTTCGCAAAGATCTCGGATTTAATTTTGTTCACTGAACACACGCATCGATTTGTACACGTGTCGTATGTATACAAGAAACCTGGTTAAATCAAAACGTTGATGATGCTCTCGTGCAGATAGATGGCTCCGACTGTTACCGGCAAGATGGACAACATAACAGGAGGAAAACTGAAGGCGGTGTGGCAACGTACATCAACACTTCTTGGTGTGGGTAGTCTGAAGTGGTTTTCAGCTATTCTGAAAAATCCATTGACTGTTTATCCGTTCGTTGTTATCTCAGATTTTCCCGATATAAAAGTACAATTATCACTAATGTGTATATACCTCCTTCGTGCTCCCAATCAGATATATATTCTTTCTTTGATCATTACATCCTGTCTTTGGTTCCAGTATCAGATTAGAATCTTCCTTTGAGTGATGCTGACTTCAATCATGCAAGCATTTTCCCTCGGCTTTCTTTTGGCTTGTCTGATTTGTCTCATTCTCCTATCAGAGGCAGCTATATACTTGGCCGAGTGATCATGAACCATCCCACTTTGTTTTCTCTCAAACTAATGGCCTCAGTCTCTACCAGTGCTCATTTTGTTCTCCTCTTAAGACCAAAGATATACTCTCGCTCTCCAACATTCATACAATCAAACCAGATACGGTTTCAT